TCGGGCCGCCGGCCCCGGGGCGCCTCCCGCCCGCCCGGCCCCGCCGCGGCGCCTCACGGGCCCGGCCCCCGGCCGAATCCCTCGGCTCCGGGACCCGGCCGCCGCCCGGCCCCGCTTACCGTGCTGCGCGGGGCCGGTCTGGGGGGCTCGGGGCTCCGGATTCAGCCGGTTTCGGCTGGGTCGGTCCCGGCGTCACACAATGAAATCAGCGCCTCCGATCATTAATTCTCATCATGATCGTGACGTCAGCGCAGACAGCGGCCAATGGGAGCGTGAGATCAGCGCCGGCCGGGACGGTGCTCGCCCCCGCCCCCCGGTCCGGGGGGGCGCCGCCGCCCTCAGACCCTCCGCGCCCCGCGCCTGCCGGCATCCCGCCCCGAGCGGCGGCGGTGGGCGCCGCGAGCGGGCGGTGGAGGGGCGGCGAGTGCCGAATGGTGGCCGAACAGCATTGGCCGCACTTTGCAGCCTTTTACTGTTGGGCAGGAGGGGAGGTGTGTCCCGTAAAATCGAGAAGATAGAAAAGGAGCAGGATTTCGATTACGCGAGCATCGCGACGGTGAAGAAATAAACTTTTCGTAGCTTGAGATCAGTACGCGTACAGCTGAGAGCCCACGCGTGCGGCACGTGGCCGGGCGCCGCACAATGCCCGCGCGCCCACCGGCGCCGCGTCGACATCACGCCGTGCCTTTGTGCCCAGCCGCGGCGCGAGGCAGCGCTGCCGGCATCGTGCGGCCCGGCCGTGTCTGCAGGGACGCCGCGGCCCCGAGGGCGGGAAGCTCGACGGCACGCAGCCTGCCGAGGGCTGCATGGTGTGGCGGACGCTTGAAATCACGTCAGTCTGCTTGTATTGGCTCTGATATAGCAGTTAGAAGCCGCGGATTCGAGGCCCTGTTGCGTTAATAAATAACCTTCAGGCTTCCCCCGTTGCTGCCCTGAATAGTTCACAAGTTCTGGTGTGAAAATGATGTGGTTAATTTTGTGCCGTGATGTTAATGTGGTCTCGTCAAATGCGCTGGGTGGAAACACAAGGGCTGGCACTGGCAGCAGGAAAGCAGTCAGTACGTGTGTACAGCTATTTCAGTATTACAATCTGTTACTCATATTTTTAAAACCAGTTTTTAATATATTTAACTCTGCTTCTGGCCACCAACGTTCTGTCCGGGTTTCCATCTAGGAACAAGCAGCTGTGTGTTCACTCACAAATAAGGGTTGTCCTTCTAGAGTACCTTTCAATAGTTGAATAGTTGCTCATGTTCTGTCCACGTTGTAATTACATTTCCTTTACCACATTGGAAAGTCAATCCATCAATTAATAAAGCTTAATTTAGCTAAAGATTTTGTTACTGATAGTGTTTTCAGCAAAGGATCAGTCTTTACTTTGCCTTGTGTCATAGCAGTAGTTGTGTGGTGCAGTTGTGTGGCCCAGATGAGATGATTGTGCTTTTCTGGGCCAGAGCATCTCTGTGGGCATGAGCCCCCAGTCACACCGAATTCGATGTAGCACTGAACACCTCAGTTTAATAACAGGGATAGTTCATGTATTTTAAATCCTGTCTTGTATTATGCTGGTGTTTCCTCTAGATACCCCTTCTGGTGTCGTCAACACTCTGCTTGTGAAAAGTAAATAGTGCAATCATGAAAGCACTACACCACTTCTACAGAAAACGGTGATTTGGGATTTGCTATGGGATGATTTCAGAGAAAACTGCAACGTTTTCACGTTATCTGGAATCTAGGAAACAAAAATGGTGAGACATTCTCAAAAACCATTTGAAAAAGATACAGTGATATTTGATAAAATACAGCTTATTAAACTTGTTAAATGATAAATAGTAGAAAGTACTATTTCAAAGGCTCTTTTCTGGCTAACGGTGGGCTCACAGGTGCTCCTTTCTACAGCAGATATCAAAAAGCCATGGAATCATTCTTAAAGAAGACTTCAGATGTGTATTTACGTTATCAAAAGATAATATGCAGACTTGTGACCACACAAAAGATGTACAGATCCCAGTAACAGACATTTGACTCAGTAAGAAAGGTAAGACCAATAGCTGAAGCAGAAAAATCTATATTCAGCAAGAAGAATAGCAAAAGAAAAGGAAAAGAAATTTGAAAAGAAACAAAAAAGCACCGTAATGCTAGTGTTAAGAGTGAGGTAGAAGAAGGGCACTCAGTAGTAGATAGGAGTCACTTTAGAAAAGTAAACTGAACATTTAAGTTAAAAAAAGGCAGGAGAGAGACAAACAAGCTAAAGGGCTCCTGCTATGAAGACACAGGGACAGGCTGGAAGCATCTTGGTGACTTTTGTTTAGAAGACCTGAAGTCAATGCTTTTACCAGAAAGCATTAAAACTCTGCAGAGCCTAAAGGGACTGTGTACAGCAGCTGAGCTCCAGAAAAAACTTTGTACTATTTATGTCCTTCTCTGGTAGTGAGACTTCCCTCTCAGCGAGACAAACCTAGAGGGAAAAGCTATGACAGGATGAAATAAAGCAAATATCCTTCTCTTGCAACCAGATCCATGCACTTTCTCATTCATTAATAACAGACTTAAATTAACAGAGGCTGGCAAATTGGTCCAGTGGTTTGAACAGCAGCCTGGGACATAAAAGGACTCTGTACATGAGGGAATTAGCATCAAAGTGAGACTCTGATGTAGCTACTTCATATTAGCTCATTAAACTAATTAGCTCAGCTTACTGTTATTTACTTGGCTCAGTCTGGGTTGTTACTTCTGCGTGGCAGAAAGAATTTCTCAGCAGGACATACACTGGGCTGAATTTGTGAGCTCTGGGGCTGTGTGTGCCCTGCTTTAATGGCAGCCACTGGGTGTGTCTGTCACACTGCTCCCATAGTGGATATGGAGTAGATCAAGAGCCCAGTTTTGCATTCCCAGTCAGGAACCAAACTGTAAAATCACCCCAATCTTCTCATCCTCCATCCCAAGCTCATTCTTTTGGCTTTCTGCTGAGTCTGGGAAAGAACAGGAAAGCCAATGACAAAGACAAACAAACAAAAAACACCAGAAACAAACAAACAAATAAACAAGGCCAACCAACCCAACCAAAAAATCAACCCAGTAAGAAGAGTCTTCTCCTAGGACAGCTTTGCTCTTATTCATTGGTTTCTATGCCAGATCTGGCTGTGACCTGACAGTCAGTGGCTTTCAGCGGAAGGTGCAAACAGGATGGAAAGGAGCAGTCAAATGTTTCAGCACTAAAACATGCAGTTGTACAGCATTGGCCAAGTGGGACCTCATCACTGAATTCGCCCTCTTTTCCCTAAAAGAAATGTTGAACTTGTGCTTGGGAAACTGTAACAACGAGTCGCCACTGATCACTGCAGTTTCTCCAGTGCTCAACTGTCCTCGTTAGAAAATTTTTGCTAACGTTTTTACTGAATCGTCAGCTAAGTTAAATTCACAGAGCAGATCTACTGAACTTCAGGCCCAAGACTGATCACAGTAAAAAGCCTGCCCTCACCTTTCATTTGGTCAGAACCATTTTATGACCATTCTCTGAGCAGTTCCTCAGGTCAGAGGCTTCGTTTCCCCAGCTTCACTGCAAGAGCGCTGACACTGCCAACAGCACTGCCTTCGCCAAGAAGTGTGACATTCACTGCTTCATGTCTACACAAGGCTCATTATTTGTCACGGGGGAAACTTAGATTGCTTTGACATGATTTAATTTTGAATCCAAGTTGCCTGCTATTCATTTGCTTGTTTCCATGAATGAGTGTGCCACTCTTTTTGTGTCCATGTGGTTGGCTTTGCCCAGGTGCCAGCTGCTCATAAAACAGAGCTGTGCGGTCAGGTGCCTGCCCTGTCACAGGCTCTTCTTCATGAACTGTCACTTGAAATGACAGCAGTGGTATTTCTCTGATTCACAGAAATGCTATGAAGACACACTAAAGACTGGAATTACACAAGAGTATAAATAAAGACCTGCTAAATCAGGAGGTTTCTTGTGAAATAAAGAAGGAGAAATGATTACAGCATGTAAAACTCAGTAAAAATGTTGATGTGGAAAATTCCATGCAGACCTTTTCTGCATCCACAGGCACAGCCAGCAGTAGTGGTCTTAGGAGACTTACAGTTTTCCCATCTTCTTTGAATTTGGTGTTGCCATATTAATTAAAATTAACTGTTAACCCCCACCCAGTGCATAAACAAAACTCCCATAAACTGCATCTGCAAATGTGTCCCTTATGCTGGTATGCAAAAAACAGCTGGTGCTTCTGGAAAAAAAAAAAAAAAAGCTACAGAAGAGCCTGGCTGTGTGTGTATTGCAGGGATTTGTTCTGCTCTTTTACTCCTTGGGATATTTTTTATGAAAATCAAGAATGCCTTTGCTTTTTATTTTTATTACCTTTGAGTGTTTTTCTAATGATGAGCCATGTGAAAGATGAACTTGTGGAACACATAAAACTCTTCTGTACCAAAACTGGAAAGAGAAAAGAGAAAGAAGAATTTAATATTGGTCTTCCATCCATTGGTTTGTTTATCAAAGGCATTTTTAATAGCACAAATTTGAAAAAGAAAAAAAAAAAAACTTTAAATGGAAATGAAAACAAAAACAGTACGGATAGGAAGAAAAAAAAGAACTGGGAAGAAAACCCCATACTTTTTTCCTTCTTATCACTCCTATACAATTGACCTGTTCTTAAAAACCTTTGCAACTCAATTCATTGTTCTTCCAGTCTGTGATGTGTACTGCACAGAATCCACCAGTCTGCTGCTTCAGACCATTACTACAGAATTCCTGGAAGGAAGGGCATTTATTTTATGTTTTATTTTATATTAACAGCAGGACAAGGGGAAATCGTTTTAAGTTGAGGGAGGGAACATTTAGGTTGGATTTAGGGGGAAATTCTTTACAGAGAGCGTGGTGAGGTGCTGGAACAGCTGTCCAGAGAGGTTTTGGATGCTCCATCCCTGGAGGTGTTCAAGGCCAGATTGGATGGGGCCCTGAGCAGCCTGGTCTGGTATTAAATGGGGAGGTTGGTGGCCCTGCGTGTGGCAGGGGGTTGGAGATTCATGATCCTTGAGGTCCCTTCCAACCCTGGCCATCAGTCTGTGATTCTGTGATTTTCCAAAGCAATAATGCCCCGCAACCAGAAAATCTTTCTGAAGCCATTCCATCCCCTTCAGATGCCTGCATTTCTTGGCTTTGCGGGCCAGGGTGCAGCTGTATGTTTTCAGTTTGAGGGAACTCTTCAGTTGTACTGCTTTTCAGAACATTCTGCTCCTTTCTAGTT